AAATCCATTGTAGAGTTGTTAATTAGAAATTGATTTTTTAAATATTACATTTTTGAGGAAATTATAATAAAATGATTTGCATTGTATATTGAACAGTAAATTTTAAATTTCCTGCCGAGGCATAGCCGAGTCTAATTAAACAATTTTTATTAAAATAATGTATAAACTGAAATCTCTAGATTAAAAAAAATCTTGCTTATTTTTTATTTTCCTTATTTTTTTGACTAGGGACTAAAAATCAACAGAGTTATAGAAACAGAAGTAAGAAGAGGAAAATATAATAAAATTCTTTGCATCGTATTTTGAACAGTAAATTTTAAATTTCCTGCCGAGGCATAGCCGAGTCAAGTCAAACAATTTTTATTAAAATAATGTATAAAACACAATTAATTTTTGTCTTCTTCTAATTCATTATTATCCAATCTTTTGTTTTGATAAAACAATAATTTGTTACAACTTTCAATATTAAAAATTGAGCACCGAAAATTAATGGCTGCGTTTTTTCCTTTTTAAATAATGTTTCATTATTATCTAAAAACAAAATAACATAATGGTGTTTTGAAGCAATTTATAATTTTTCAAAGTCATAAAATATAATACATTGCAAAATAAAATAGTTCGACAAGGATAAATTGATAATAGTCGTTTTAAGTAAGTAGATATTGCGAATTTTGGGAATAGTAAAAAAACATTATTGTAAATACTGAAAAACAGAATAAGGAATTTACTAAAAATGTGCCAGTTTAATTATTATAGAACGAATAATTAGTACAAACTAAAACAGATAAGTTAAAAAAAGCTATTTTAATGAATGGCAATTAAAAATTTAATGTTTTTTGAAAAATATTCATTTTGAGTGCCCATAGAAGTAAAAAATAAAGAAAGCGTCCAATAAAACGCTAAAAATAACTCATCAACAAGTGCCAATTCTCTCAATAGCTGAAAGTTTGACCTTGCCGAGTGTTTTAATTTTATTTCGAAAAACTGCGCCAAGTTGAGTGAACTCGAGCACAAAACGCGAAAATATCATTCACCTTGATTAATAATTGCATAATTACTCAGATAACAGTCATTATCAATGAGCCAATCAAGAAAATTCATTAAAAAAAAATTAACAAAAGTGCAAGTGTCAATTGCCTGACCCAAATAGTTAAAAACTGTACTTACTTCAAACTGTAGCAGCTACCCCTGCAAGAACAAATTAATTTAGCAAACTGTGTCACAAAAATGAAAAAATTTGTACCCAGCGTGGGCACAAAAAATACGAACCCAATAGCGTCCATTTTTGTGTGGATTTAGGCGAGCAGGGTTCAATTCTGCAAAAGTGGGTCACTTCAAAGGTCAAAAAGGCCAAAAAATCCAAACAATTGTTTGCACTCACCGGTTTTCGGGAAAAAGTGGACGCATGTGTGCTTGCTTGCGAAGTTGTTTGCACAATAAATCCACTCACTCGTGCAAAATTAGCTTAAACAAGTGATTCTCTTTCATTCTATTCTCTCTCAACGTGCAAACTCGAGACAGTGGTGATAAAACGAGATAAAAATGATAAAGAAAAATTAATTATTTCGAGTGTGTGTTACTCATTAATAATTGCAAAGGAAGTCGAAGCCTTGAGATAATGTATTCCGGATTCGGTGAACAAATCAGTTATTTTTCTATCACAATTTCACCGTTTTTCGAATTGAAAATGACTGTGAATTTGGCGCGGATTGCGTCAGATTTAGTGCTTTCTCCGAATTTTCAAGTTTATTCGAACACAGTTTAAGCCACTACTGAGAGATTTTAGCTTTTGGCAAAACGACTTTGGTAAAAATAGATATTTCTATTATTCAAAGTCGCAATAGGGCAAAAAGGTTGCACGAGTTGAATGTGTTGGGTGGTAAATAAGCGTTTGCATAAATAAAAATAAATGTTTGGTGGCTTTCACGCAACAAATCAGAAAACAATTTTTTTTTTTGAGTTTTTAACTCGAAATTTGTAATTCAATTAAGGTGGGTCAAGTTACCAAAAATTGATAAAATATTTGGTAACTGTGACTATGCAATTTTAAAGTTGTGTAACTTTCAAAACTACAATTTGCTCTAATTGTTTCTAGGAGAGTGTTTTATGTCGATTTTTATCTAATCAGATTTTATCTTATTTTTCGAAAGTGATGTAAAACAACCATCAACTCCATTAACAGTTATGTGCAAATTTTTGATTTAAATATTTACTACTTGAATAACATTATGGCTACTCAAATTACTGTCTGGAAATCTATTAAACTTGATATTTTTTTTTCTTGAATAATAAACATTTGTTTCTACATGTGAGTAATCAGTAGAAATTTCTGGTGTAATATTTTTAAGATATTTCGCCGATAAGATAATTTGCAATATGTTATGTTTACGTCAGAAATTAATTATGTTTTTTAAGGGTAATTTACACAAATACCCACTTAGGTTTATTGTTTTGTAATACTTTGTAAGTGTTATTTAAACGGTATAATAAAGTAGATAATACATACCGAGCGCTCAATTAAATTTCTAATGACTTTATAACATTGGAAAACATATACAGGCATCCCAATTAAAATTTGCGCCTCCTAAAATCTACGATTTCGTTCAAGTTTGGAAAAAATGGTGGACCAAATTTTATCACAAAATTTAAATAGACAGACCTGACCTGACCTGATTTTTTTTTAACTTGGGACACTTTGTAGATATGAATATAATATGAAAACCAAGTTTTTTTTCTGCTGTTTTTTTATTATTCATTGTTGCCAACTCAGTTTCAAATTCACAGGCCACTTTGATCAGAAACTTGAGGATTTCATCATGATTAATTTTATTTTGTGTGACTTTTTAATAAATTATAAAGGTACAAGGAAATAATAAATATTATTTACTTTTTCCTAATAGTTGGCCAAGTATTGGTGTTAAATATAGAACAAACGTATTAAGGTTACTGAGTAAATAGGACGTTTAAATTAAAAAAAATTGGAACAGATGATTTTTATTTTAGTTTTGGCAAATGTTTTTTTTTTATTTTCTTGGCTAACTTTTATTAAATATTAAACAATAATTATTTTCTATTTGTTTTAATTTTAATTACTATTATACATCACTACAATATACATTTGTTTTAATTCAGTCTAAAATTGGAATTGAAGCAATTATTTTTTTAATTTAGAATAAAGTCTCTATTAAAATCGAGCAAAATTGGTTTGAAAATAGCTAAAATTGCTTTATTTTAGAAAAAAACTCTTATTCAAGCCATTATTTTGTTGAAAGAGTTTGACTCAGATTGATTTCCGTCTTACAATTGAGCTCAATTGATTAAAAATATTACAAATTGATTTATTTCAGCCTAAAATTGGGATTGAAGCGATTATTTTTATAAAATACATTAATTTTGAATTCAAATTAAGCAAAATTGGTTTGAAATTTGTTAAAATTGCTTCATTTTAGACGAAAACTCTTATTCAAGTCATTAGTTTGTTGAAATATTTTGATTCAGGTTAATTTTTTGGGAATAGCACAAATTTCTTTACTTTAATCTAAAATTGTGTTTAAAGCAATTATTTCTATAAAATACTTTAATTTGAATTAATTCTGTGTAAAATTGGATTGAAAATAGCTAAAATTGCTATATCTTGGAAGAAAGCTTGTCTTCAAGCCATTATTTTGTTGAAATACTTTGACTCAAGTTGATTTCCGGCTTAAAATTGAGCTAAATCGATTGAATATATTACAAATTGCTTTATTTCAGCCTAAAATAGGGATTGAAGTGATTATTTTTATAAAATACATCAATTTTGAATTAATTCTGTATTAAAATTAAGCAAAGTTGGTTTGAAATTAGCTAAAATTGCTTTATTTTAGACGAAAACTCTTATTCAAGCCATTAGTTTGTTGAAATATTTTGATTTAGGTTAATTTTCGGCTTAAAATTTAGTTAAATCGATTGGAAATAGCACAATTTTTTTTCACTTTAGCCTCAAATTGTGCTTAAAGCAATTATTTCTATAAAATACATTAATTTGAATTGAAAATTGGATTGAAAATAACTAAAATTGCTATACCTTGGAAGAAAACTTTTCTTCAAGCTATTATTTTGTTGAAATACTTTGACTCAGGTTGATTTCCCGCTTAAAATTGAGCTAAATTGATTGAAAATATTACAAATTGCTTTATTTCACCCTAAAATTAGGATTGAAGCTATTATTTTTATAAAATACATTAATTTTGATTTAATTAAAATTAAGCAAAATTGGTTTGAAATTAGCTAAAATTGCTTTATTTTGAAAACTCTTATTCAAGCCATTAGTTTGTTGAAATATTTTGAAGGAAAATAGGTAAGTACCTAACTACTTAACTTATTATAAAGAATTTCTTTTGGAATTTGAGTTTCGGTAAAATATTGGTTTTTATTAAACTTGAGTTTTGGTAAAATTTTGGTTTTTATTAAACACTTTGTAATTAATTAATTAATTTCGGGTCCTTCTGTACACAAAAAATATACAGATTAGACTTGAAATAAAAAATAAAAACATGTGATCATTCCAAACATTATAAAACGCACTTTTTACTTAAAGGGCAAAAAAAGGAATTTACAGGGTGATTTTTTATAAATTAATCTTTACAGGCAAATTTAAATTGATTGTAAGATTAACTAGATTTTTAAGTGGTTTCGATAACGCGAGATGGCGCCGCTGTCAATTTCGCGCTTTTTATTTAAAACTTGGAAATTGTGTCAAATTGTGTTTGTTATCCGTTTAACCTCGAACTTAAACAATTTTTCTTGTTCAAATTGCGTAAGAAATATTCTCACTAATTTGTATGCAAAAGCGATCGACGTTTTTGACCTAGAAATTTCATATTCCAAGCAAACAATCAGCTGTTTTACAGTGTTATTTTATTAAAAACTTTTGAGAAAAAAAATTACATTTCGTTTTAAACTTCTTGCATCAAGTCTTTCTTTTTGATATTTTCACTTTGTGGTGTTTTGTTGAAATATTCCTCAATTTCGGACAATTTCTTTTGGTGTGTTTCGGGCAAAAAAACGTAGACGTAAATAGCGGCGATTAAAGTAACCCCTGAGAAGAAATACTGGACTCCGTGGATGCCCCCAAAGCCCTCATACATCACTGGATACAATTGTAAAGACGCAAATGTGAAAATACTGGCAAGACACGTGGAAATACTGTGTGCAACTCCTCTTATCTCAAGTGGGAACAATTCTGCGGTCATGGTGTAAGGAATTGGGACTAAACCAATCATCGAAGTGAACACAAAAAGAAGGAGAAAAACGACAGGAAGCCACGTGAGTGTACTTGTGCCCGTTTTGACCCAATAAGTGAAAAACCCCGAGAAAAAAATGCTAAAAGACATCCCGAAACAGCTCAAAATGACTAGAGGTCTCCTCCCGTAGGTCCTTAAAACGTAGGTGTTGACCATACACATGACAAATCGGACGATTCCGATGAAAATCGAGGTCAAATAAGGGTTCATTTCAGACCCCACTTCCTGAAAGAACGTAATCGAGTAGAAGAGAAAGGTGAAAATCCCGGAAAATTGCTGGAAGAGGAAAAGTCCGGTGAGGATCAACAGCGGTTTGTACCCTGTTGGCTTCCCCAATTCGCGAAAAGTGTCCATTTTGCTCGTTTCACTCTCCTTCAATTCGTGTTCTCTCTGGAGGAGAGCAAGTTGAACCAGTGATAATTGCACCGTTTGGTACTTATTGATCCAGAGTAGAGATTTTTTCGCTTCCTCGATCCGGTTTTTTGACACTAGCCATGCAGGACTTTCCGGGATAAAAAACACGAGGATGCAAGGAACCACGATGAAGATGTTTGTGAACCATGCGACTTGTTTCCAGTCCAAGAAATAGCCCATTATGAAGGCGAGGACCATCCCGAGGGATGTCAAGGCTTGAGCGAAGCAAATCAAGGATCCTCGCATGTCCTTCCGGGCGATTTCGGTCAAATACACCACTGCAGGACTTGATCCTATGCTTGAGGCAAATCCCACCAAAGCGCGTCCTGTTATCAGTAAAAGGACGTTATCAGAGAGGGCGATGAGGACCCAACCACTGATGGCCGGGATGGACGCCATTGCGAGGGTTTTGAGGCGGCCATATTGGTCCATGAGGAAGCCCACCATGAGGCTGCCAAGAGGGGTGCTCAAGGCCACAATACTGGCTAAAATTTTGTTTTTTTTTATTGTTATTGTGATTTTTGAATTACCAATCCAGGACGCCTCATTTTCACTGATGACTCCAAATTCGGGATTTGATTTGAGTTGAGGGAGGAGTATGGCAGAGAATGCTAAAGAGATTCCAATTGAGACGTGGTAAGAAGTGACTAAAATAGCGGCTAATATCTGCAAAAATCGGGTTTAGAAGTTGGTAAAAGTGGGTTTGGGCATACTTGAGGTGTGAGATTTTTGAAATTTCGTTGCTCGTATTTGCTGAGTGTGACGACGCTGCCCGAAATTTGGGAGTATTTTTGGTCGATTTTCTGTTGGGCGAGGATTTGGTTTGAGAGGGTTTGTGAGCTGTTGAAAGGTTTAAAATATTATACGAAAAATACATTTTTTTGTATTTTTTTAAGAAGTGAAAATTAAAATTTGTAAAATAAAGTCTGAAAACTCATCTTAAAGCTGAAAAAAAATTGTCTCATCAAGGTTACAAGTTCATTAAATGCATCAACTTTAGATACAGGGTGTGTCAAAATTGGTGCTTCAGCGAAAAACTTCCAGCAAGATAAGATACCAGAAACATGGAAAAAAATCTTTGTCCCAAAAAAATTGACATTTATTTTTTGACATTTAACATTTATTTATGTTTATTTAATAATATTTTTTTATAATTATTTAGTAAAGATACAAAAATTTTGCCAATAATAGGCACAAATAACATTAAACACAGTTACAATTTAGGATACAGCTTCCTTGTTTCTTTTTCTAATAGCAAAGTGCAAAATTTAAACTTTTAACTTCTAAATTTTTATAGAATTTTTTCAACATTTTTTCCATGTTCCTGGTTTTTCTCTGGGGCGCCAGTTTTGGCACACCCTGTATTTTATTGTCTTAACATAATGTGATTAGGCTTCTCTTTAGGGAATATCTGAGCCTTCGGAATGATGACACATTTCCCAGCTCGGTTGTAATATACTATTAATCTAATTTTATTTTATTGCATTTATGTTGCTTTTGTTTATCGATTTTAAAAAGAAAATAAAGTAAGTTAATGTAATTTTATGAATTTTTTGTCTTCCCACTAACTAAAACTGTAAAATTTCTTCTTCTTCTTCTTCTTTGCCAAAATTTTTAAATAATGTGGCAAAAACTAGTGATTAAATGAAGTTGTTATTTTAAATAATGCAAAACATTTGAATCATAAAAGTTGAAGACAATTGTTTACGCAAATTTGCATTTTATCACATTCTATTTAAAATTTAACAAAACAAATAACAAAATTTAAAAATACAGGGGTAGTCCATAACTTTCTTGTTATTTGTTGTTGTTTCTAACCTCCTATAGATCTATTTAAAGTGCACATTTTAAAAAGTTTTTTTTTATAATCATGTTACCATCAACGTCTTACATTTTAATTAATTGATTAATTAATGTCGTGAAAATCTAATTGTCATCTGACTTATCAGATTCACCGATAGCAGCCTACTTGAAAAAGCTAACAAATTTTCTCGTAACAGAATTTTTTGTCAAAAATGCTTTTAATACGTGAAAGCAAGTGTTTGATTAAAAAAAAATAGTTAATCAACTTTTTGGGTGTCTGCGTGCTTGAACTAAAAGTCTAGCAATTCAAAGTTTTTTTTTGCAATTTTTTTGGAAAATATTCATAGCCGACTTTGCAGTGATTTTTCAAATGTCGATTTTTTTATAACATAAAGTTGAATAATTTCGAAACAGAAAAATACAGACCTATAATAGTTTACACAAAGTTCCATTTTCATAATTTTTTTACGTAGAAACTTATAATGTAAAAATATACAGGGTGATTTAAAAATGTGGGACCAACTCTCGAATGGTCATAGAAGACTTTCAGCAAAGCATAAGAATGCAATCAGATTTTTTCAAGGCTTTTTTTTTGGGAAAAATTAGAAGTGTCAATTTCCATTTTATTATGTTTTTGATTTTGTCGGATTTAATTTTCTTTAAAACTTGTTAATTTGTTACATGTCTTGAATATCATCAGATGCAAATTGGTGATTTTTTAACATGTATCTGTTCAATGTTGCTAGACCTGCCGTAAACTAACCTTTGATGATAATTGTAAAAGAACATATACAAAAAAAACATATACATCAGTACCATTAAATAGACATAAAAAAATATCAAATGTCAAAAAATAAATGTCAAAATTTTTTGGCAGATAGAATTTTTTAACCATTTTTTTCATGTTCCTGATATCTTACCTTACTTGAAATTTTTCACTGGGGCGTGAGTTCTGGCGCACTCTGTATATCTCGTGAAAAAAGAATCAAACAATTTTTTGTCATGAAAATCTATCATCACCCAAGAGATGGTCCGAGACTTTTGAATCACCCTGTATGGTATCCTATCAAAAATGTTATAGACCTATTGCACCCCCTGAGTCACCCTGTATACACAGGCTGTCTGAACTAAACTTGTAAAAAAGAAAAACCATTCTATACATAAAATGACTGATTTATTTTGAAAATTCGTTTTAGTTTTCAAATGAAAATTCTAAAATCATGAATTTCAACCTTTGTGCTATTTAGGTCCAATTTTTTTCTTTATATTTGATATAAACTAGTTTATAAATTAATAAAAAAAATATTTATTCTTAAGAAAATGGTGGTTATACAGGGTGGGTTAAATCAAAAATAAAGATGATTTTTGAGGGAAATTCAAAAGAATTTATTAAATTGCCAGTGGCAACAGTATACCCACGTCATATGAGAATTTAAATCGAACCTTCATTTTTATGATAACGATAACTTTTAATAATGTTTAATAATCTAATCCGGTTTTTTTCAGTATTTTTGCCTTGTTTGAATACTCTAGTAAATAGGAAATGTATGTATAAGACCCCAGATTCACCTGTTTTGCAACACTATTACGATTTCTTTATCTTTATAAACTTTAACCCGATAACACCACCAATTAATATTTTTAATTTCCCAACAAGTGATGAAATTAATTTTAATAAATTTTGATTTTTTGTTAATTCTATAATTTTTTTTGACTAGACTTGGATTTGTCAAGGGCTAGTTAATACTAGATAAAAATGAGAATTTGACTTTGTTATCTAAAGTGTCATCTACTCTAAATTTATCTGATCTTGAAAATTGAAAAACGGCATTTTTTTTATACTTACTTTAAATTGTAACAACTTCCACTAGAAAAAAAATTCAATTAGGACAACACACGTGCGAAATCAAATACATACCTAAGTGGATCCATTTTACTAACAATAAAGTCTGACTTATACTTACTTGAACTAACAACACTCGACCATAGACATTTTTAACAAAATACGATAATTTGCAATAAGCACTTAGGTAATCGCAGATAAAGATTAAAGACCTACACTTTCTTCACTTCAACTCCAATCAGTCGAAAAATTCCGCTCAAAAACACAAATAAGATAAATCAAACATGTTTTATTAAATTATCAATTTCGTTGTTGTCGCTAACAGCCCGCGTCTCCTTCTTTGTCTTCTGTCCAAGATAAATGCTATTGTGTTTGAAGTAATCTTCAATTTCGGACAGTTTCTTCCTATGCGTTTCCGGGAGGAACACAAAAGTGAAGATAACGGCCCCGAGGGAGAGCCCGGAGAAAAACCACTGAACCCCCGCCGAGCCACCCAAGGCAATTTCCATATTGACGTAATTTTGCACGGCAAAAAACATAATCATGTTGACAACACTAAGAGAAATACTATGAGCCATACTCCGGATTTTTAATGGAAATAATTCAGCGGTCATGGTCCATGGTATTGTCAATAACCCCACCATGGACGCCACCACGTAAAACAGGAGGAACAACACGGGAACCCATGTCAAGTTAGTGGTACCATCCTTGATCCAGGAAGTGAACAACCCGGAAACCAACATGGCGGCCGCCATCCCGGACCCACTTATCATTATCAGGAGTCTCCGGTTGAAACGCTGGAGCATCCAAGTGTTCAAAAGCGACATTATCAGTCTTATCACTCCGATCAAGATCGACGCGATGTAGGGATTCACAGTGGTGCCAACATTCTCGAAAAAACTGACTGAGTAAAAGAGAAAAATGTAAATCCCTGAGTATTGTTGGAAGAAAAAAAGACCGGAAAGGATCAAAAGGGGCTTATAACCAGTGGGTTTGAGAAACTCGCGAATGACGTTGCCCCCATCTTGGGGGTCACTTTTCTTCGTTTCGTCTTCTTTCACCAGAAGATTGAGTTGCATTTCGGCGAAAGTTTTACTCTAAAATTGAATTTTTAATTTTGGGGGTTATTCCAAGGTCAAGTACCTGGTTTGGGGGCTGCGGTTGGTATTTATGGAACCAGTTTAGGGCCTTTCGGGCCTCTTCAACCCTCCCTTTGGAAATCAACCAAATCGGACTTTCGGGTATCAAAAATATGAGACAAAACGGAATGATTAGGTAAATGTTGCAAAGCCAAGCTATCAGCCTCCAATTTATTAACCAACCCTTGAAATATGCAATTACCATCCCCAAAGACACGTAGGTGGGCCCCAACGCTATCAGTGACCCCCTCATGTCTTTCCGCGCGATTTCTGTTATGTAAACCACGGCGGGGTTTGTTGATAAGGCTAGAATTTATCATTTAGGGAAAATTTCACTCATTTTTGTAATTTACTAGAGGCAAGGCCTGAAAAAATCCTCCCAATTATAATCATGGGGACGCTCCCTGAAGTCGCAAGGAGCACCCAACCAATCACCCCTGGCACTACTGATAGTTTCAAAACTGCGATTCGGCCCCACTTATCCATCAAATAGCCGCTTAAAATTGACCCGAAGGGGGCCACAAGGGCTAAAACACTCGCAATCCAAGACGTTTCCGTTTTAGTTACCGGAATATCACTACTGCTCTCCAATTGGGGGATCAAAACCGCCGAATATGCAAGGGCTATGCCCACAACGATGTGATTTGACGTTGCAATGACTGCTGCAATAATCTATTTAAAATTAGTAGAGTTTAAGTTTGTCAAACTTACTTGAGGTGAAAGATTTTTGAAGTTGCGTTGTTCATATTGACTCAGTGATTTTGTACTAGCAGTGAAGTCGAGTCGGGTGTCTCGTTGGGCGCTATAATCGCAATTTTGAATGAAATTCGCAATTTGGGGGTAATTACCTTAGATTGTAACTGCTTGCACTACAAAAATTAATTAAAAAAGTGTTTTATGATTGAAGGAGTTTACCTTAAAGGGTCCATGACGAGTACTACAAAATTTCAGGTATTTAATCGCTTAAATAGAATTGATGTCAAGATAGTATTATCATTTCAATTACTAATTAAAATTTTGATTATTAAGAGAATTTAAAATTGCCGCCTAAATTTAGACAACACATTATACACGCAAACATAACCAAAAAGAAATGGCTTCAGTGTCAATTAAGAAAGAGATTCCTGATTATATCCTGATTGAGGATGATGTCAAAATTGAGGAGACTTGTCTCCAAGCCAGTGAGGGGGCTATCAGCCCCCCTAGAAGTGTCATAATTGAGGAAAAGCTGTCAGTTTGTTCAATGTGTAAATGTGGGTTTCAGAGATGCACAAATGTCAAAATTTGGAACGAGTCTGATTTATATAAATGTAATAAATGTATCCTCCACTCGAGACTGAATCAAGTTTTTAATTCCAAATTCTTGGTAACTAAGCGAAAAGGGGGGAATTACCCTGCGAAAAAACGTATTTATTAAACTTTTTTGGAAAACTCGACTTATGACATATTTTTTTAGGTAAAAAACCAGTTTTGGAGGATGATAGTAGTAGCGACAGCGATGTGGTAATTGTTGAGTCAAAGGGAGAGACTATTAGTGACAGGTTTTGTAACTACACTCTCATTTTTGTTGTTTTATTGTCTTCTTTTTAGTATTTTTGTTACCAAAGTTTTGTATGTTTGCTCCAAATGTAAGGTGAAATTCGAAAGGAGTGACACTGTGGGTCTGAAGGAGGCTTCTGATTGGTCCAAATGTAACAAATGCATATTGCATGGCCGCCTCAATTCAGTTTTTACACCCGGAAGGAGAAAAAGTCAATTTAAATAATTTTATTGTAATATTTGTTATACAATATCACAAGATTTGTCTCTAACACACTAATTGTCTTCATAAAGCACAGTTCGTAAAATTCCTTACAAAAATATCAGCATTTTCCTTACAACTAATAATACTCGAGATTCAAACATTCATCAATTTCTCCGTTTGTTCCTTGTTTCTACTTTTCTCCTTTTTCCCTCCTTTCTTGGGTTTTTGTCCCAAATAAATCAAGTTATGGTTGAAATACTCCTCAATTTCCGTCAATTTCTTCCGGTGCGTTTCCGGAACAAACACAAAAGTGTAAATCACCGCAATAATGGAAATCACAGCAAAGAAAAATTGTATTCCGGCAGCCCCATTAAACGAAGTCATTAGAGTTTCGTAGCACTGAACGGCCGCAAACATGAGAATGTTGGCACTACTGTATGCGATACTGTGGGCCACCCCCCGAATTTCAATCGGGAATAGTTCGGCTGTCATCGTCCACGGAATGGGTAAAAGCCCCAACATCGACGCTATGACGTACAATAAAAGGAAGGCAACGGGGACCCAATTGGCGTCAGTGGTCCCCTCGATGATCCATTTAGTGAATAGCCCCGAAAAAAACATACAAGTGGCCATGCTGAAGCCACTGAGCATGATAAGGGGGCGCCGACTGAAGGTGCGAAGGAGGTACGTGTCGAGGACTGACATGAAGAGGCGCACGGTGCTGATGAGGACCGAGGCCAGGTACGCGTTGACAGGACTACCAACAGCCTAAAAAAGAACCATCTTAGGGATAGAGATGGGCGAAAAATATCGATGTTTTTCAAACATCGAATATTGGTCAAAACATCGATTTAAAATGTGTAAGTATTTTTTTAAATATCGATGTTTTTACTTCGATACATGGAAATTGGTTCAGTTAATTATTTTTAATTATCTTTAATTTTTTTAATTTCAAAATTTCATTCGATAAAATTTATATTCGATGTATGGAGAATTCGATGTTTTTTAACAAAATTAACGATGTAGGTGGTTAAGTTTTGTGTTTGTAGTTTGTATTGGTTTATGTTTTATGTAAGAATTGTAAGAAATATGTTTATATTTGTATTTTTTTACGTTCCAAAAATTTATTATTAAAAAAATTGGTAAACAATTTTTTTTTTCAATAAAAAACATCGATTTTAACTATACATGTTTTGTGGCGACGATGATTTCTTATTCGATCATCGATGTCACAAAACATCGATATAAATTTTTCGATGTTCCCATCTCTACTTAGTGACAATAATTATCAACGTAAGCTGAACAAAAATGTTATCGTTTTTCTAATAAATATTTTGTGTACCAACTTTTGACTCAAAATTTACTACACTTTGTCATTCGACTGACATAAAAATCTGAAACGGGCCTTAGACAACTAACCTCACTTTCGGTTTATGTAATTTTTATCCTGATAGCTAGAGGAAAAATGACAACAAATCAAAATAATTTATAAAAACACGTATTTCTGGAATAATTTCAACCAAAACTTTCAAATTTTAGTTTCAAATGTCAATCATAATGACAATAAAGTGTGGCTTACACTAGTATGAAAAGTCGGTAAAGCAGAGCGCGCGTTACCCACCTGGAAAAACTCGACCGAGTGGAATAAAGTGATGTAAATCCCCGCAAATTGCTGACACAAGAATAGACCAATCAGGATGAGTAACGGTTTATATCCTGTGGGTTTGAGAAAAGCCCTAGCTTTGTAGGCCGCCCCCCGGCCGTGTAAAGCCGCCTCATCTAGTTTCTTTTGGTGTTCTTTTTGCAGTTGTGCCAATTGCATTTCGGCTAAAGTTTGTGGCTGGAATAAAACAGTGATTTTGTGTTGTTTAAGTGTGTGTATTTTACTTTGTTTTCGGGTTGTGGTTGGTACTTGTTGATCCAAGCCAGGGATTTACTTGCTTGTTCAATTTTTCCTTTTGATACCAACCATGCGGGACTTTCGGGTATGAACATTAATAAAATACAAGGAACTACAGTGTAGCCGAGACAAGTCCATGCGACCACACGCCAACTGAAGAACCAACCTTTCAAAAATGTAAGTACCATACCTGTAATTGTAAAATTTAGGTAACTAAATAACTAGAAATAAGTGGTGCCAACCTAGGGACGCATATGCCGGCGCAAAGGAGATCAATGAGCCTCGCATGTCGGCTCTTGCGATTTCTGTAAGGTAGACAATAGCAGGACTGGTCCCCAAAGCTGCAATACCAACTGTTAGTAAAAAAAAAACAAAATGTTACTTAGTTTGTGACCTGACGCCAATCCTGTCAAAAGCCGGCCGATAATCAACATATGGAAGTTGGTAGCCATGGCGATTATCGTCCATCCGAAAACTCCCGGTATTGCTGCCAACTTAACAGTATTCAGTCTCCCTATAGCATCCATTATGAAACCACCAGCAATGGCACCAAGTGGCACAACCAAAACTATCACACTTGCTACAACAACAGCAAATACTACTTAATTTTTATTAATTTAAAACGATTTTTACCTAACCATGGTCTCTGCTGCGGCGTAATAGGGAATTTTTCGTCGTCAAGTTGCGGTAAAAGAATACCGGAAAATGCCAAAGAAATTCCAACCACTATGTGGAACGAAGCGGACAATACTGTTGCAAAAATCTATTTCGAAAAAATTATTTCAATGTTTTTGTTGTTGTTGTGACTTACTTGAGGTAGCAATGTTTTAATTGTTCTCCCATCGTAGTGGCTCAGAGACCTACAACTGACGATGATTTCGTGAAATTTTTCATCTTGTTTCTTCTCTTCGATTATTGCTCGAGCGTTTTCTTCAGCACTGAAATTTTTATTAGTAAAGAAAATATACAGGGTGCGTCAGAACTCGCGCCCCAGAGAAAAATTTCAAGTAAGATGAGATACCAGGAACATGGAAAAAATGTTGTATTAAAATTTAGAAATTATTTATTTCTTTTGGATAAAATAATTTCACATGTTTTTGCTGAAAAAGCATATATTCCTTTTCATATTAATGTGCATCGAAGTAGTCGTTGAAAGGTGGCAACCATGCGAAAATTCAAACAATCCTCACCTCAATTTTCCTTAAAAATTATTTTTTCAAATAAATGTGTACCCCAGGTAGAAAAAATAATAATTTAATTAACATTTAATTAAAATTCTGTTAAAAAAAAATGACATTTGACATTTTGTTATGTCTATTTAGTGATGTAATATGTTTTTTATAATTATTTAGTAAAGGAACAAAAACTTTTGCCAATAAAAGCCACAAATAACAGAGTTACAATTTAGGATACAGCTTCTAATAGCTTGTAGTAAAAAAACTTGGAAAATTATTTTTCCAACAGAAACAAATAGAGTCAAAGTGCAAAATTTAAACTGTCATAACTTCGAAATTTTTATAATTATTTTTATATTTTTTATTTGGTATCTTACCTTACATGGCATTTTTCTGTGGGGCGCGAGTTCTGGCGCACCCTGTATGCTGTATGGGACATTTTCAGTGTCTCGCAGTGTACTATTTTTCAATTATTTTGCGATTCCTCGAGTCCAAGGTTCGCTTTCATTACAATTTGTGAAATATTATTAACAAATTATCCCAACAACATACATATCAATAAAGCCTAATTAACACAACTGTAAGAACCAGCTGGCAATCATGCACGAGGCAAGGGCAAGGTCGATGATAGGAAATAATTTGGCTGCTCCTTGGTGACGTTATCCTAGGCTTGGTTCTTATTTTAGGCATTTGTCATGTTTTATATGCAGTTGAACGGAAAAAATGGTTCCAAAAGTAAAAAAAAATGTTTTTATTGGACTGAGATCAAAGTCCGAAAATGTGAGTGGTTTAAAAATTCTCTTTCATGTGTGCGCAGCATGATAACAGGATTGATGGATTTGTGGTATTGAAATGTAGGTTTCCACCTTTATTACCTGTTATCCTACTAAGTTATTGATTTATTTTCAAATCGATCAAAAAAAATTATAACAAGTTTAATTAGTTTTGCATTTAATTATTTCAAAACAACAAGCATTATTCTGCTTTAAATGTTTAAAATTCCATTTTAATCTAATCAATAAATTAACAATAATAAAATTTGCTTGTTAAAAAATATGTCAATGTAGGGGAGACAAGGGCACTCAAACACTTTTGCTTCTATTTTATCTACATTTAGAAGATAAATTATAATTAAGATAATACCATGCGTAACATATTGTAGCAAAAAATATCAGCTGATTGTTTTTTTTTCATTTATTGCGAAACAAATTATTTACGAATTAGAGAACAATGGGAATATTATTGAATTGATTGATTCAGGTAAACAAGGACTAATGAGATTAAAATTTACAGTAAAATTGCTTTTTTGATTTGTTTTATACAGATGTTTCAAAACTCTAAATACATCTTTAATTTAAAGAGTGATTCACACAAAAAGTGTCATTAATGTCATTCAAAACAAATTTACTGAGATCAATAAAAAAAATCTTTGTTTGCCACCCTATGTTAATTAAGTAATTTTTTTCTACCTGGGGTACACATTTATTTGAAAAAATAATTTTTGAGGAAGATTGAGGTTAGAATTGTTTGAATTTTCGCATGGTTGCCACCTTAAAATTATCCCTTTCAACGACTACTTCGATGCACATTAATATGAAAACGAATATATGCTTTTTCAGCAAAAACATGTAAGATTATTTTTCCAAAAGAAATTTTAATAGATACAATTTTCAACATTTTTTCCATGTTCCTGGTATCTTATCTTAAAAAAAACGTTACAAAATTTGGAGGGGGTGATTCTTCTATCAAAAATTGTGCACTTTCAAAAATTTTACTTTGGAAAACGTTTTATGATTTTTTTTACAAATTCGGATTTGTTAGTTAATTTTTTCTAAGTTGAATTACCGTTCTAGGTCCTTTGCGAAGCTTTTCCGGACATAAATCCATAATAACTTTTTTTATATTGACCTAAGAAATCATCTCCAAAATCTTTTTTTGGGACATTAGTGCTAAATAACGTTTTTTTGTTGTATTTTGATTAAATAAAATTTTATTTTGCTGTAATTTTAAAATCGGAGGTTTAAAAATCTAAATAAAGTAAAAGGAAATCCTGAAAAAGGTTAAAATCTAATAAAACCAAGCTTATGAAAGGTGTCCACCAAAAATCCCGATATCAGTTTTTATCTCCAACAACTAATTTAATAAATTATTTCACGTACAGGAAAAAATGAATTTAGGGGAAATGTTACTCATCCAGATAATGTTTAATTTATTATCTAATAGATAACCCATGTAAAACTTAGCATTCTAGTGAAAAATAAAGTGCAAAAAAGTATTATTATTATTATTGATAATTAATTATTAGATACATTAGAGTTGGTAAAGTTGCGTTATTTGTAAAAAATTGTTAAAATTAAAGAAATGGCAATCTGACAAATTTCTACTATGAAAAATTTCCACTCTCACTCTTGATGCTCTTCAAATCGTGCAAAAATTTTCCTAGTTGAACCGAAACACACGTTTTTTGCGTGTTTGCTTACAATAATGTTATCTAATCAGGGTGTGAAAAAAGCATCATTGTTCAATTTCTCTACTTACTGTAAACTGAAGCAACTGGCACTGAAAAAGGCGAATTAATTAAAATCGGTTTAAGAATCATTTCAGCTGGTTTTACCTGATTGGATCCATGATTTTTCAGGTACAGTTAGACGGACAATCTAGAATTAAAAAAATTACATATTAATGCTAAATGACTAGACACATTTTGTTGCTAAGTTGATTTTTTTCGAAAGATGATCGGTCGAAGCAAAAATCCTTGAACTATTAATACGATTCGCGTGTTCCTCTCTTAATGAGTAAATTATAGTTTGAGAAATTTCACGGTCAAGATTGAGTGCATGAATTTGAAAAAATTCTTGCAAATTTATACTTAAATGGAAAATCAAATTTGCATGCACATTGTCTTGTTGGAGATAAAATTTACATAATCGTGGTATTATTCAAATTTTATGTTGATGCTCGTTAAATAATCGATTCTAGTAAATTATATTTAAACGACAAGCGGAATCGATGAACAACAATGGAATTGTTTTGTTGTAGGTCGTGTCAATTGCGGTTGGAATAATAAATTTATTGCGGTTATTTGTGGTCAAAAATTGGTAGAAATTATTAATTTAATTCGAAATGTTTTTTAAACGATCACAACTATTTTGGGAACACTCTGTGTTGTATAAAATACAACAAACCACTCTTTTACATTATTCACTATTATTGTCTTTTTTAATTGTCCTATACAGGGTGCGCCAGAACTCGCGCCCCAGAGAAAATGTCATATAAGGTAAGATACCAGGAACATGGAAAAATGTTAAAAAATCTTTATCTATAAAAATTTCGAAGTTATGAGAGTTTAAATTTTGCACTTTGACTATTTATTTCTGTTGGAAAAATAATTTTCCAAGTTTTTTTTTTACTACAGTCTATTAGGGAAACAAGGAAGCTATATCCTAAATTGTAACTCTGTTCAATGTTTTTTGTGGATTTTATTAGCAAAATTTTTGTACCTTTACTAAATAATTGTAAAAAAACATATACAAGATCATTAGTATCATTAAATAAAAAAATGTCAAATGTCAAAAAATAAATGTCAAAATTTTTTGGCAGATAGAATTTTTTAAATATTTTTTCCATGTTTCTGGTATCTTATCTTACATGAAATTTTTCTCTGGGGCGCGAGTTCTGGGGCGCGAGTTCTGGCGCACCCTGTATACAGGATGTTTTCTTAATGATTACAAGTTGTTGACGAAATGTGACACACCCGGTATATCCACTTATTTTTTTACTTCAAAAATGTAAATTATTGTGCACTATTTACATTTATGACTTCTAAGTTTATAAAAAGTTTCTATTTCAATAAATTGTGTTTCCTTTTCATACTATTAAAAAATAGATTTTACTTTTTTTTTAAACATTTTACTTACCTTAACTTAAGTCAAACGTAAATTCTGGAATTTCTATCTAGAGTGGAAAGTTAATAAATAAACAAAATATGTAACTACTTTATATGTATTTTTGGTATTTTATTATTAACTAAAATACCCTAAAATTTGTTAAAATAAATTATATTACATAAATGTCTTTACGATGAAATAACTAAGAAAAAAATTTAAAACCGCAAAATTCTACATGTTTACTGAGTTATTAGTGGTTTTTAAAGAGAGTGCTAGTAAGAATCACATTTTTTTTATTCAATAAAACAACGATTTTTCCTTTAAACAATAATTAAACTAAAATCAAAAAAAAAAACAACAAAAATTTTAATATAGGCCAGAACTCGCGCCCCAGAGAAAATGTCATGTAAAATAAGACACCAGGAACATGAAAAAAATGTCCAAAAAAAATTTATCTGTTAAAAAATTTTGACATTTATTTTTTGACATTTGATTTTTTTGTCTATTTAATGATACTGATGATCTTGTATGTTTTTTTATAATTATTTAGTAAAAATACAAAAATTAAACAGAGTTACAATTTAGGATACAGCTTCTTTGTTTCCTCTTCTAATAGACTGTAGCAAAAAAAATTAAAATTATTTTTCCAACAGAAATAAATAGAGTCAAAGTGCGAAATTTAAACTCTCCTAACTTTGAAATTTTTATAGACTTATTTTTACTACTACTGTTTCTAGTTATATTACCTTACGTTTGTCCCGTCTTTTTGACACACCCTGTATACTTAGTTCGTTTTTTTTATATCAGTGTCAAAGTAATTGAAAAAAGCTGAATGTTTCACCAGACTAACAAATTATGATTTAAATTTTTCTCCAAGTAATACTGTCGAAAATTTACTTTTTTTTACGTAAACCTTGAAAAAAATAAAGATTTCTGCTCAAAAAACGTTCTTGAACTCTCGAAAAACACACAAATAACTTAATTTTAGCCGAATTTTTGCGTTTTTACTTAAGAAACATGCTAAAACACTTGGAAAACTACAATGTTTGGTTTTATGTTTATTTTAATAAAATGTCACAAAAAACAAATTTTTAGTTCGAAAATTTTTTTTAACATTTTTTCCAAGTTCCTGATACCTTACATGGCATTTTTTTCTGGGGTGCGAGTTCTGGCGCACCCTGCATAAGCAATACTAAAAAAATTAATTATCGATTTAGGAAATAACAAAAACAAATCAAAAAAAAACTTTATCGAACCTGATCTTCACTATTTTTGCTCTACATTTTTTTTACATTTTAGTTAATAACTTATAGGCGTGAATTAAAATTTGATCTTAAAATTATATGTTTTAATGTTTTATTACAATTTATTTTTTTATTTATAATTTTATTTAAATGTTTAAAAAGCAATGTAATATTTTTCGCTCTTTCATTGATACGAGATTAAAAAATCAAAACATAACAAAAACAAGGTTTAGCATTTTCAGGGTTTGTAAATATTCAAATGATTTAGCTTATCTAAAATACATTTCGTAAATTACTCAAATCAACATTATTCTGAAAAAAAATTATTGTTTATTTACAAATACGTTCAAATTATTATTTTAATACGTCAATACTTTTGTATATTTTGTAACAATTTTATGTATAGTTAGACTCAGCATTAGTGTGCATAATATTGCGTCAGAAATTTTGCGCTTCCTTGTGTTTATTTATGTTTCCGGTTACAACATTTTTGTATTTTTTATCAATAAAGAAGGAAATAATGATAAGACATCAATAAAAGTATTGCAAATAATGGAGTCTCACCTGAAAAAAAATGGAGAACGCGAGAATTAATTATTACACAATCATGACCGTGCATAATTAGATATAAAAAATAAATAAATTAAAAAAAAATTGGGATGATATAATACAGCTGGAGGCAAAGTCCACCACCAACTCATTTTCTAAATATCATTTCCGAGTAGTTATTACAATTCCATAACACAGTTGCAAAATTACATCATCGCAAAGCGAGTGAGGGAATGTACAATTTTCAAATATAAACAGAGAGAACTAACTAAAACAAAGGAGCAAAATTCAGGCTTTGCTGAATGTGAAAGGTTAAAAACCCCTCGCTGTGTTGAAATTATTATTACATTTGGCCTCGAATCAATTTTGCAAAATTAGCAACTTCTATCTCATTCCAACTAAATTTTAAAAAATGCAAAATTTTCGAAAAATCGTCACACTTACGTCACTAAAATCCTCTGAAACACTCACATGAAAACCCTTCCACTCTCTATCGCGATCACGCCGCTAATAATCGAGTTTTCCGCTATTTCGTACCATCAGCTGGTAGCCCACATGCGTCGAGATGGGAGCTTGCGGTCAATACCACCCCACCACCCTAAAAATGGGCGACTTAGCCAATCAGGAGTGAGGCAGATGGCTTAAGTCGGGTTAGGTCTAGACACGCACATCTCTAACGAATTTATTGATTAGCGTGGATAGACTTCGAGACGCCTCAATTTTTTTGATTATCTGCCAAGTGTGAATCTTTGGTTTTGACCTTGAAAAGGCAGTAGCGTCGAGAGGATTTGGGAAATTACACAATGTTGAGTGTTGTGATATCACTGATGATAATTTTGCATGGAAATGGTTTAGGAGTTGCGTCATTGTTTAGATAAAATTTGGTTCAGAAATTTGTGATAACAAGAAAAACATTTTTAGAAATACGCGATGTCATGAATATTTTCTCTGAAACATTGCCAGGTAACTTATATTTGTAAAAAACACGAAATGTACTGTATAAATTTTCTAAACTTAGAAATGCAGAATTTAAAAATTTTATTTGACATTTTTTATTAACTTAAAAGAAGGATGTCCTAACAAAAGTTAACCTTTTTGTTTAATAATAAAAATGTCGAATAAAATGCTTCTAATGTTCCGATCAAAACGGTAGAAGAAAATTTCTATTTTAAGTGTCCTATGAGTTTGAAATTAAGTTGGCATCCTTGAGTAATATAGAGAAGGTATAAGATTTCTCATTTTTCGTATTTTTTGACTCTGTTTCCAATATTGCCAACTTAATTTCAAAGTCACAGACTACTTTGATCAGAGAAACTAAAATTATTGATTTTGTTCGCATCTTTGTCATTTTTAAGTGTTTTCACTGAAAAGAGATAAAAAATAAAATGTTGATAGCTTATATATGGTCCAAAAGTCTGGAAACGAAGTTATTCTGGCGAAACTATCAAATTTTTTGGCAAATAAATTTATAGGTGTGCAATGGCTATAAAAATGCTATTCAAAAACATTTTTGAATATTAATTAATTGTTTATGTTTACGAGAAACATAGTAACTTTTATTTTTAAATGGAAACCTACCACAATTTTTTTTAGACAACGAGTTTGTTACAAGAATTGTTGCTGTGCATTTTTTTTGTAAACCTCACACTTTTTTGTTAAAAAAATGTTTGACTTACAAGAATTAAAGAATTTTTTGTAGTAAACTACCCGTTTTTTTGGAAATAAATTAATAAATGTTTAAAGGTTGTAAAGGAGCGATGTCAATTTTTTTTTTATTTTAATTAATTGTTTAAACTTTTGAGATTATTATACTAATAATCATATGTTCATGCATTTTATGCATTTTGTGCATTTATAAAATGCATAAACATATCTTTGTAAAACAATAAATAAAAAACCGTTTTTATTTAAGAAAAAAATAATTAGTATGGTATTTCCAAAAGTTGAAACAATTAATTAAAATAAAAAAATATTTTGGCATTGCTCCTTTACAACCTTTAAACATTTATTACTTTATTTCCAAAAAAAAAACTCGTAGTTTACTCAAAAAAAATTCTTTAATTCTTGTAAGTCAAACATTTTTTTAACAAAAAAGTGTGATGTTTACAGAAAAATTTTTTGCATGGCAACAACTCTTGTAACAAGCTCGTTGTCTAAAAAAAATTGTGGTAGGTTTCCATTTAAAAAAAAAAGTTACTATGTTTATCTCGTAAGTATAAACAATTAATATTCAAATTTTTTTTTGAATAGCATTTTTATAGCCATTGCACACCTATAAATTTATTTGAAAAAAATTGATAGTTTTGCCAGAATTACATCGTTTCCAGGGTTTTGGACCAGCCTGTATATACTCTTTTTACATAGGTTATTGTAAATTTTATTGATTTTTTTATTGTATTTCTTCGCTTTTTGTTTTGATTCGTTAGATGAATTTTCTCTAATTGTCCTTGACACAAACTTTATATTTTCTATAAAATATTTATTGTTATTACAGTCTGCTACTTAGAAATTATACTTAAATGAACAATAAATCTAAGTGTTTGGTTCATTTTTACACTTTTTACTTTGAAAATTCGAAGAAATTGAAAAATAACGATTACTAATAACATTAAACATAAAATAATAGTCAACACTTTGTTTACTACTTCTTAACAAATGAGTTATTGATTTACTAAAGCGAATTAAATTGTCAAGTTATATTTTTGTCTATTAAATAAACAGTTAATTCTTATGATATTCGATAATTGATCACCATTTTATCGTTTTTATTGATTTTTTATGCTTTAATAGGACTTTATACAAATTAATTATTTTCAAATACATGATCACACTTTATACTTCTGATAACCCAAAGTATCATAAATGATTTTTATCTCTGATCATCTCACGTAAAGTCTAGTTTACAGCAGAATAGATATTGATTTAATAATGACGAAATTACTAGTCATTGCATCGATTCCAGGTATAAAATTCACACTACAATTACATTAAAAAATTAATGTAATAATAAGTGGGAGCAATGCCGACTGTTATATGGACTAACTTTTATCAGTTAATTGCATTGAATTCAAAATAATTATAAAAAGTATTTACAATTCAAAAAGATTATCTTTCGGAATTTTTTTTTTTGATGTATCAATGTTTACAAGGCGAACAAAAAGTTTAAAATCAATTGTGTTTTTAAAATCTGTCTTAAGAAAATAATAATTGATAACAAATAAATGCCGAAAAATTCTGTGTTTGGAGAATTAAATTTAGTTTTGTCTTCGAGTTATGCGATTTTTTTCTAAATGACGGGGTTTTTCGACAAAAATAATAAAATAAAAAAATAAAATAAAACGTAGATATTTATATAATAGTCTTTGTAAAAAAGGTTTTATAGTGGGTTGCCATTTGAAAGAATTAAAAATTTTAAAGAACTCAAAAACAAAAAAAAAATTAAATGTTATATTTGGGAACGTCACATTTTTAGAATACTTTAAAATTCATCAAGTAGTTTTTTTCAAAAAAAAATAAAAATTTTAACCAAAAAACCTTTCGTTTCATACTTTCTGTTCACCTGGTATATACAGGGTGCGCCAGAACTAAGTTATTTTTTGACATTTGACATTTTTTTATGTCTATTTTGTTGATCTTAGATAAGTTTTTTTACAATTATGTAGTAAAGGTACAAAAATTTTGCCAATAAAAGCCACAAATAACATTGAACAGAGTTACAATTTATGATACAGCTTCTTAGTTTCTTCTTCTAATAGCCTGTATAAAAAAATGCAAAATTTAAACTCTCATAATTTTTTATAGATAAAATTTTTTTAACATGTTTTCAATGTTCCTGGTATCTTACCTTATATGGCATTTTTCTCTGGGGCGCGAGTTCTGGCGCTAAACTAATTGATGAATGATAAAGTACTATAAAAATGCGATGTTTTATCAAGAATAAAATTTTTCGAAATTTTCTTTTGTTTTTGAGTTCTACAAAAAAATATTTTTTTAAATGGCAACCCACTATATGTATATAAAACCACTTTTCTCATGAAGGTTATGATCAAAGGATTACAACTATCAATTTTATATTTAATTTTTTCAATTTTTTTTTACTTAAATTGCATTTTTGACAGACTCAACAACAAAACAAAATTCCGTTCTCAAAAAACGATCACATTTTTTACATTACTTTAATTAATTATTATTTTCTCTAGGAAAATGACTTTGTATAAGTGATATGAAAGCGCTAGGTGCATGTTGTTTTTTTTTCTTCTTTATTTTTTATTGATAAAAATTAAATTAAAAAACCTTATGACTAGTAAGTTTTAAAGCTGCATATTTTTTTATATTTTTGTTTGCTTTATTTGAGGTGGTAGTGTTACAAAGTTATTTTTTTATTTTTTTTTTTAAGCCTTGGTTTAAGTTCCTCCAGAAGTGATTAATTAAATCCTGCAATTTTTCAACTGTGTTCTTCTATTATTATAATATGCTTATAATTTGATATTTTTTTCCAAAAAATATGTGTTTGGTATGTTTTAGATTGGAATGTGTTTTATTTCATAATCATAGATCCCTATTTTTTGCTAAATTACTCTTAAACTCAGTAACCTTTTCTCTTCGCTCGTTCTAGAAACAGCCAATTGTGCTACTTGTGGAACCGATAAAAATTGCAATAAGAGCTTCCATAGAGGACGATCTCAATTGACAAACCAGTTTAATCAAGTTCCTTAACATCTTATCGCCAATATCTAAATTAATATTTATTGGAGATTTATTTTTAGTAGAAATATATGAACTACATCTGTTCAATTAAGCACAACTGTAAACTCGGAAAAATTCCACTAAGTCATAGATGGCGCTGGATTTCCTCAAGGGAGCTTTTCCGCTTTTCCACAATTCTTGGCCCTCTTGCAGATGGAGCCGCTGATTACGCATCCAATAGGGAAAATGGAATTTATCAAATTTGACAAGCACTTAAAAGAGGAAGTTTTGGCTAGACAGTTGGAGTTTTTGTCTTGTACTGATTTAGTGCAATTGACCTAAAAAAGTTATAGATGTACAAATTTGCATTCGATCAATCATTTTAATGGAATCGGAGGAAAGAAATTTGAAAAATTCGAAAACTGACATTTTAGAATTAACTCAGAATTTTGTTCAATCTCTCATTTCGCACTCCTGACAATGAGGAGTGTGTAACTGTGTAATGCATTACAAAGGTCTACACTAGTGAGTGATGTGGCTGGTAGACGCCACTGTGACGTCACGAGACGCCGGCGTCACCGGGTCGGAGACTCATCCCAGACTCATCAAACCAAACCGCTCCACGAGATACAAAAAATTCGACAATTTTCTGCACCTGATTAAATCGTTGCGATTTAATCAGCGACTTACGGAAACACTTGGGAAAGTTTCCCGAAGAGGTTTAAGCAAATTAATTTTTTATCGTGGTATTAGTTAAAGTGTGAAAAGAAACAAAAAGGCGGAGCAGCCAAACTTATTTTTCGATATTTTTCGATATTATAATTCTGATCCTTCTAATATTTTTATTATTATTTTATTTGCG